TTGAGCAATCTGTGCGGGTGGAAGGTGGCCCTGCCCATGGCAGGGGGGTTGGAACTGGATGATCTTTAAGGTCCCTTCCAACCCAAACATTGAGTCTATGATTCTATGATTCTAAAACAAATCCTCACCAACGTGAAAATATTTGGATGGGTGGTTTAGTCTCACAAGACACAAACTGATCTTTATTCAGTTCCATAGCAGAATAGGAATAAATGCTTTACTGGTGTGCCACAGACGCCCTGAGAAACATGGTCTTTAGATACTCAGCTAAAACAGGGCTTGAGATGTCCTCTGCCTCAATTCTTCTTCCCGCTTCCCAATCAGTATACCTTTTTTTGTTTTGTTTTGGTGTAATTGTCTGTGAAGTTGTTAGATTCCTGATGAGTTAGCTCATGTGACATAGTGGTGGTGCATTTCGTCCCCTCTTAACTCCTGGACAGCTTTATGGCCTTAGCAATTCCCATCAAACCTCAGCCATTGTGCAGGGAGTTTGGTGGTGAAGCGCCCCTTATCATACCAAAGCACTCTTGCACTGCCAAGGTGGGGAATGGCTGTATTAGGGGTCAGTTGCCTGGTTATAGTAGGGGATGAGAGTGAAATAATTCATCCCCTGCCAACCCTGAACCTTATCGCAGTCTGGGTATATCAGTACCAGCTGGGAATTCCAATGACCACCTGCCCCAGTTAAGGCCAGGATGCACAATTATTTATGCCTAGAGTCAGTTATCTCGCAACCCTATAAAAAGCGGTACCAAGGATGACCCTTTGAGCTCTCCTGGACTGCAGCGGCTGTGCCCAGCATCTCCCTCGGAGTGGGACATCTCTCAGAGTTCACAAACTCTCCAGTTGGTGAAATCAGAGAACAGTCATCACAACCTGGGCTGAAAAACCTCCTTGAAGCTCAGCTCTTCGCCCGTTGAGAGAGGCACTGACATCCGACGTGAATATTTTCACCGAACTCCAGGGGAAATTTTAACAGGTGCCTTCATACAAATACACATGTATCTATCTCTGTTTCTGTATCTGTCTGTGTGAGTGTGTGCGGGCAGCTTTATGTAGATAACTTTGTTCAGTCTTTGTCATCAAGTTACTATACTGATTTACTGAAAGTTCTGCTAGGGAATTGTATGATTTAACTGTGTGGCATATCTGAATACTGTTAAGGAACTTTGATTTATTGCTGCTCCACACTATTGCTGTCCCAGAGTTTCACACCAAGCACAAAACTCCACACACTGTGATTGATGTCTTCCCCAATCCCTCAGGCATAAACCACTGACCAGGTCTGGGACTAGGGGTGGATTCAGCCACACCTAGACTTCTTTTTTGAGTTTAGACAGCAAGGGTGTCCACTCTGAACCTCGTGACCGGAGGGGAGGAATTTCCTTGCCCCTTTTCCTCGTCCATATCACAACAATCTAATCCTGCCTTGATTCTCCTGACTCAGTAAATAATTTTTAATTCATGTACAAACTATTTTAATCCGTTGCTAATTCGATTTCACCTTTGTATGCTTTTCCATGTCGAATAAGTAGTAGAGGGGACCTTGCCATTGAATTCTGTTAAGTCACGCTTCTCAGAAATTCATCTTAAAAATAACAGCTTTACCCTGAATATTTGTGACGCTGATCTTTTAAGCGGCCTAAACCACTCAGCATAGTCCGCCTTTCGTGACAGACATATGCCACTATGTACTCTTTTGCTGAGGAACTATGTTTTCATCCCTTGATTGGGAACAAATCTATACGTGACTACACTTGGGAAGAGGGGATTGATTCGTGTTGTATAACGGAGCATGTCTGGGTTTGAGAATTAGTACTTATAAACACTTAAATCAATGGCTGAGCAAGTGAATGCTCAAAGTTGGTAGAGTGAACCTTAGCAACAAACGTCTCTGTCACGGCTGCCTCAACTTTTCCAGATGAAGCTGTTTTCTAAAGGTGCTTGTCATGCAAATTCTGGACGAGGCCCTGAGCAACATGATGTAATGTCAAGACCAGCCCAGCTGTGAGTTGTAGGGTGTACTTAGATGTCTTCCAAGATCCCTTCCAACCTACAGTATTCTATTATTGTGTGTTGCTCCTGAAATACGTTACAGCATTACAGCATGATTTAGAAAATGCAATTAAATATAAAGGATAGAAAAAGTAAACATACTTCATATATTTTATTTTCTGTTTTGCAAGCTTCAGTTGTTGCTCATGAGTTTGCCTCATAGTAGGAAGAGATGGCCTACTACAAGATAAGGATACATGGATTAGTATTGCCTCTGTATGCTTAGGTTATTTGACAACTTCTAGGAAGAAGAAACTATGTGTAGTCTACAATCAACTATATTTTGTAAGTCTAGAAATAGTGGCATACCCTTCTTGAATAATGATAGCGTGATGAATATGGAAACGTAGCAAAATTCCTAGGACATAAAAATACAATTTTTTTTCAGTGAAGTTAACATGTACAAGTATAAATGAAGCAAGCATGACATCAAAGAGATATGGTAGGTTACAATAAGACTTGACATTTCAAAAGGGTTTATCATTTGGAGGAAGCTATAAATAAATAGGGTACATTTTTTCAAAAAATTGAAGCTTCTTTCTTTGACTATGCACAGTACCTCCTCTTGCAGATCTCCTTTCACAAGCAATGTGTTCCCATGTTTAATGGAGTAAGTCAAAAGAGAAAAATGTATCTGTCTAAGCACAGAAACCTTATTCCACTTCTTTGTTTTGTGTAGCTGAATAATTTATAATCACTGAAGATCTCTATCTCCAGTTTTTGTTCTACATGATGAAAGAGGTAATCTCAAATTGTAAAATGTGTACAACTCTAACAGTTCTGAGATTGCCCCATAGTTTTTCAGATTCCTGATCTGAATTAGTTCTTCTTCAAATGTGTTAAAGCTGTTAAATGCACATTTCCCACTTGTTTATAATTACAGTTTTCCAGAGTCTTCTACTTTATCCACGGTGTTTGTCTGGAACATTTAGTTTGGTTGAACTCTTGAGCTGCTCGGTATCAGTGAATGTGAAGGATCTTTTTGAATGTCTTCTTGAAATTCTGGTTACAAAGAGGATACAGGAATGGATTTAAGGTGGAGTTCACATAGCCAAGCCATATAGTGAACATGTGCAGTTTTGAAAATTGTTCATGGCCATGGAAAGCGATTACCATAAATAGTACAAAATAGGGAATCCAGCACAGCATAAAAGCTGCCATTATCACCCCTAACTGCTTAGCTGCTTTCCTCTCCCTGTTCCCATGCAGTCCTTGAATGTGCCTTTTGGAATGGGTATGCAGACTTTGCCAGGTTTTCCTCAGGTAAGTCAGTCCTCTGAAATCCCTGTTCTCAGATTTTTCCTGAGGACTGCAGGCTCTTCCAGCGTTGGGATTGGAGTGCTCTCTACAGGGTACCTCATCCGTGAAAGTATGGTTGTCTGATGCATCACTTAAGTCACTGTCTTGTGAGCAAGGCTCCTCTTCATTTTTGTCATCTTCTGTTATGCACATGCACTTCCTTCCTGCTTTATCCAGGCCTGGCTCAGAATGGGCAGTGGCAAGAGGAAAACAGCTCCATTTAAGGACTTTCTTATTACTCTTGCTAACGTATGTCTTTGGAGACTTGTCGGGATTACTGAAATGAAGCTCTGCCTCCATATTTTTGGGCTGAGGGGAACTTTGCTTGTCTTTCGGAGGGGTATTCTCATCTAAGATTTGCCTTTGGAGGCAAATATTTCCTTCCTCCTTCGTCTTATTATGATGTGTGAGGTTTTTTTCAGAGAAAGACCGATATGATCCATCAGTGAGCTTTCGGTGTTGACAGTGTTTGCGAACAGCTTTAAATATTTTATAGTAGAACCATAACATCATGATAGAGGGTAGGTAGAAATTGACAATTGCTGTCAAAACTTTAAACCAGGTGACTTCAGAGAATTCAGTTTCACACTTGTCTTCCTCTACTTTCCTTTCTCCATTATTAGCAAAAACGTGCCATCCTAGGATTGGAATGACCCACATGAAAGAGATCAACCAAACCCCCAAAATCATTAGTGATGCTCTCATTTTTGTTCTATACTTCAGATATTTCAGTGGTTGCTGAACTGAACGATAACGGTCAATGCATAATATGAAGAGATTGAAAATGGACGCAGTACTGGCCACATAATCCATCGACAGCCAGAACAAACAGGCTGGTAAGCCTAGATTCCACACAGGACTTAGCAGGTAAACAATATTCAAGGGCATAACAGCTGCACCAACTATAAGATCTGCAATAGAGAGGCTGACAATGTATAAATTGCCAACTGTTTGCAGCTTCTTTTCAGTTTTCACAGCACATAGTACTAATATATTCATGACAATAGTGATCAGTGAAATGCTTCCCAGGAACACACCTAGAAGAGCTGAGTGAGGGTTAGTCGAGTTCTCTGTAGTGTTATTTGACATCTTTTGCACGAGAACGCAGAATGAAAATCAGAGAAGATGTCCAGGCCTTGGAAATTCAGTCTTGATTTACACTCCTGGATGAAAACGTGTTGGATTGCTTTGTGATTTTTATTTCCAGAACTATAGGAAAGAAATATGCTCAATCACTGTAGTACTAAAATAAAATAATACAACTAATCTGTGCTCCAATGTAGCACTCTCCCTTCTAGGACTGTTCTAACAATTTTTACATTTTACATATGGATAATTTAAGATACGTTCTATGAAAAGTACTGGAGCAAGCTGCATGAAACAAGCCAAAATGGTTTGCAAAGGTATTTCATGGGTCTTCATATAATTCTGACCCCAGAATCTGGAGATGAAATTTCAGTCCTTACTGGTTTAATTTCTTATATCTCATTAAATAGCTGATCACGAACCATAACATAAACCACTGGCAAAACAATTTAAAGTGTGGTAATAAAAAGCAAATTTACATGTTTTGTACTAAATAGTTTTAAACAAATCAGTGATTATTTACAAACTTCCTCTAATAGTTTGATAATACAGCAGTTGGATTTAATTATCTGTCAATAACAGAGGATCATATGATGTCAAGTGACAATGTATTGCAAGCAATAAAAAGACTCTAGCCGGTATACACTTTTAGCTGATACAGAGAGTCTCAAATAACTCCTCAGGTTGTAGCCAGTGCATATGTTTGCACTGGTAGGCAGTCGTGCAAATTACAGGTGATAATCCTCCCCTATTTAGGCTTACAAACATTTCAAACATTCAAAGATGGCAGCTCTATTTTATTTTAAATACAAACTAATAAAAGTTCAGGGGAAATAATAGGATTTTTCAGGATTAATAAGCATCTTGCTGCCTCTCAAATGTATATAAATATAGGGTCTTTTAGACTCAATTTTACTAGTCGTTCAGGTGCATAAGAACCATATGCAAGAGCTGTTCTCCAGTAACCTGCGGAAAGCATGACACTCCTGCATGCTTGCTGTTGCTGTTTGCTGCATTCAAGTGGAAAGTAAACTTGAAATAAGAGTTGAGACTGAACACGTAGCAAACCTTTCTTTTATGCCTAAGAAAATGTTTTTAGAATTAATCTTTAAGAAATAAGCTATCTTTATTTGCTTAGAACTTTGGCAAGAGCCAAGTGTAGAGCCTTCAGAATTAATGTTTTAATCATGCCCATGATTAGAGTGCCTAGGAAATCCAGTACATGCACTGCAGTTAAAAAACCCAAAGGACACCCTATTAAACACTCACCATGGCATATAGAATGCCTGTTTTGCAGTGGGCCACCTTTCCCTAATTAGGCTTGTTTTCTAGTGACATTCATTTCTACATACTATTTTGCAAGTGTTATCAAAGACTGGCAGATTTCATTTGTACAGACACAGTAGTGTGTAGCTTTGTAGTGACTTCATCTGCATTGGGAAATAACTACAGGTACATACTTCATTGGTGAACGTAGAGATGTTATATTGGGATCATAGGCCTTAATTATCAAACTTGTTACTTCATCCATTTTGTAATACGAGCATAGTAACTCAAATATTGGCAATAAAAGGGGAAAGGATAGAAGGGAAAGGAAGGGAGGGAATGTAGAGATAAGAAAACCACCTTTTCAAAGTGGAGTAGATATGTTATTCCATTTTCTAAAAATTATCTATGCCTTTGGTATCTTCCAATTTCTAACTGCTAACTTCATGAGTTGATTTAAAGTCCAAAGAATGATTAATGATATTTTAAGTCTTGAGGCATATGATGAGTTGAAGAATTCTATCTCCAAGATATGTAAGAAAAATGTCTGTGAGGGCGATACATATTTTATGACATTTTTCTCTTCTAGTGCTTGTCTGAGTTTATGTTCTGGTAAATCTCTTCAAGCAATGAGGAAGGTTGAGACTGTAGATGTATTAGCTCAAAGTATTTACAAACTAAAACTGAGAGATAAGTATGGTCTTTCTCATCCTTGTTATTCTAAACATGGTCAAAACAATATAATGCAATAGATTATTCAATATTAATTTCATGCTAACTTTATGTCTTTCTTATTCCAGCGATCAGGGTTGAAGCTAATACGTTTGTGTGCTTTCTTACAAGAGGTCTAATTCCTTCTTCCTTAAGCTTTACTTACAAGTGCCTGGTATTATGTAAGATGTGTGCTTGGTAGCAGTAGCATCCATATGAAGAGGAAATACGTACACTGTGGAGTACAAGCTCAAGAGCTGTATTCTGTAATTCTGTATCCTGTACAGCCTTCAGGTTGTCATGTATAGTTCTTCAGCGACAGCTAGTCTCAGATGTCAAAAGATCAGCGAGGCCTCAAGCTTCTCCTGTTTGAGAAGGAGAACAAAAGTTACTCCACGGACCTTAAACCAACATGTCTGGTGACAGGAAATGGTTATATCCCAGTCTATCATTGTCTTTCTTTCCATAGCTATACACTTTAACCTGGAGTTAAGTATATGGGGCAGTATAAACTACTGAAGTTAAACATATGGGACATGGTTAAGTCAACAGGTTGATGTTAATTGCTTCTGGGACCTCATAAAGAAATGACTGAACTTCACCCCCACCTATTTTCATTTGAAGTTATGGCAAAATAAAGGGAGAGAAGGCAGCTTTAACTCAGTCTTTCACAGAAAGAATAACGGCAAAGAATGGCATCTGATTAGCCAACTCTCTTCAGTTGTTTGTGAACTGCATACGGAATAAAAGATAGAGCAGGATACAGTAAATGGTGCTGACTACATCCCAGTATTTCTCTTTAGCACTGCTATGGTGACGTAAGGTAGAATTTAGGAAGCAGCATGCAGCACTTGGTCTGGATTTAGGAGTACTTCTGCTCAAAAGAAAGCACGAAGGTCTAGTTTTTCAACTCATGCTCCACTCCTATTAAAATGTCTTTTATTAAAATTATAAAGCTTGATTACTTTTTTGTTTTGGAAGAGCTTATACAGGCTATAAAATCTGAGAATGACGTCAGGAGATGCAAACCATTTCAGAATGCTAAGAACAAGAAAATTTCAGGATAGTGCATTTACTCTTTAAAAAAAACCTCATGCTAACAGGTACTCTGTATTTATAATTGTCTTATAATGTAATTTTCATCACAATGTCTTTTGAGTAGTTCATAATCCCTGATGAATTTTATCTTCTCTGCTTTACAGAGAGCTGGCCAGTACTATTTAATTTTATAGTGGAACTGAGGGACAGGTCAAAGTGACCTGCTAAACGTCATACTGTAATGTTAGATCTAAAACCAGCCAAGGCTCTCTTGCTCCCCAAAGAGTGTTCTGACTACTACACTGTTTTTTTCTGTCTAGACTTAGGGTCTATATTCATTCAGACACCCTAGACAAGCAATCTTGATTTAGAAATTAAATACGGTGTTCGGTTGGGTTTTTTTTTCTCTTTCTTTTTGTTGATTTTTTTTTTAACTTTAATGCAGCACAAGCAACTTAGTCTGGCTTTGAACTTCTGACCTCTTCTATTGTAATCAGTCCATTTACATGACAGCTATTATATTAGACCATATAGCTGGAGTGGGACTATACACAGTAACAATTTCTACAGTATTAATAGATGGAAAAGGCTTGCAAGAACCATTTGCCCTAGTCGAGACTGAGATCTTGAGGCTGGATGAAGGTATTGAAGCTTTACAGTAACACTGCATTTTCCCTACCGAACAATTTGTGTTTTGCACCTATGATCTTTTATAACCCTGACCTGGCGAGTGTTCTCCCACCACAGACAGTATTGTAAGGCTCTGAGTAATTTACACTTTGGAGTGTGTTGATGAGAAAACAAGCCAAGCTAAGAGATAACTGGGAGAGAGTCTCCATACCTTCAGCATGAAAGTTGTATACCCAGCAGATACTTCCTACCTATCTAGTTTTATGTGAAGCCAAATTGTAGCTCTGAATCCATTAAAAAGATGTACCATGGGGTTCAGCTGGCCACAAAATGCTTGGAATAGAGCAGCCTTTGTATGACCTACTCCTTGGAACTGTTTATTTGCATTCCCTAGCATGCGACACCATGTGCTGCTGCTGCTGCTTCTGCTTCTGCCTGAGATCTTTCAGATCATGCAGAATTCTCCTTAACAATGACTTATGATAGGCATTTAGCAGCATCTCAGACATACTGCAATCCCAGACTCATGTGTGTACAAGAAAGAGAATTTAGTGGCTTTCTTGAGTCTTCTAAGGGCCTGAAGAAGGCTTCCAACACAGGAGTCTTTGTGCATCTTGCACCCATCAGTGTGCATGCTTTTTTGATAAGGAATAAGTTGCATTGCTTGCATTAAACCACCACACAATTGACAATCTTTGCTAGAATTAGCACATTTTGCCACACAATGTTGTCAGATGGAAGATAACTAGAAAATAAGCCTTGCTCCGTGTTATGAAATTCACTGATCACCTCTTCTGTGCTCTAGGGAAGATTGTAATCTACACATTTTTTCCTTAAACTTCCTACCATCACCATTAGTAGTAATGGTACCAATTATCACCAGGAGTTAGCAATCATGAGAGCAATGTGATTTGCAATAAAGGCTTCTTGCTCCTCACTGAGGCATACAAAATTCTGTAGTGGCTGTAGATTGTGGTATATGTACCCCTGTTCAGGAGCTACTGGTTTAATTCCTTATCCGAACTCTGGCCCTAATAGAGGAACTGTAATAATACTGAATAAACGTGTTTTAATATTTGGATAATTTAGCTCTCATTACACTGAGCCAAAGCTCGCTAATACAGAACAGATTTTTAAGAAAACAATCAGCCTAAGATCTTGGATAGCTCTTTGGAATTTCTAAACCCTGACATCACCATGAAATGCCTTAATTTTTACTGTCTGTAAAGAGCTTTTTGTACAAGAAATATCAGCAATCGTGATTTGTTTGTTATTGTATCACAGTGATAATTCTTCCAAGGAGCATCTACTGGGAGATGCTAAGTGGATGCCTTACTGACTCATTAGTGCAGGTGCAA